TTTTTCTGGTGGTAAATTTCGTCAAATCTGGTGCTAAATTTTGTCAACTCTGATGCTTTTTTGTGCTTCCAGTTGTGCTTTTTCTGGTGCTAAATTTCGTCAAATCTGGTGCTAAATTTCGCGCGTCCAGAATGAACCTGCGAGCCAAAAGCAGATCGCTCGGAGCACTTGGCCTCAGCAGCGTTTGACTTTGTCGTGGCCGCCTGTGCAGTTTCTGGCGCTTTCCTGGTGCTTTTTCCGGTGCTAAATTTCGTCAAATCTGGTGCTCTTTTTTGTGTTTCCAATTGTGCCTTTTCTGGTCCTAAATTTCGTCAAATCTGGTGCCTGTTTTTGTGCTTCCAATTGTGCTTTTTCTGGTGCTAAATGTCGTCAAATCTGGTGGCCCATTTCGTCGGCCAAGCAGCTGTTAGGGTTTAGGGCTTAGGGTTTATAGGGTTTTGTGAAGATTTGGTTTCGTCTTGGCCTCTGTCTAACCTGCAAGCAACAGGAGGTTGGAATCGTGACCTCCACTTCTGTTCCGCGGCCGGTCTTTTCGAACCGTTGCTTCTAGTGATTGGTGTGCTAGATTGTCACATGAAAATATTTCACTTATATAGATATGTCAAATCCAGCAATGAACATGTAGACTGTGGCGGCTGGGGCTGGTGTTGGTCTGGTGCTGCGGCTGGCTGGGGCTGGCTGGGGCTGGGGCTGGGTGCTGGGTTGTTGGCGCTGGTGCTGGTGGTGCTGGTGGTGGTGCTGGTGGCGCTGCTGCTGCTGCTGCTGCTGCTGGTGGCGGCTGCTGGGGCTGGTGGTGGTGGCCGCTGCTGGGGCTGCTGTTTGGTGCTGGGGGTGCTGGTGGTGGTGGTGGTGGTGATGGCTGCTGTGGTGCTGGTGCTGGTGTGGTGCTGGTGCTGGTGGTGGTGGAGAGGGCAGAGGAGGGAAGGAGAACAGAGGAGAGGAGAGGAGGAGAGGAGGAGAGGAGAGGAGAGGAAAGGAGAAGAGAGTGGAGGGGAAGAAGGGGAAGAAAGGGCAGGAGGGGCAGGAGAGGAGTGGAGGGGTTAGCATATTCAAAATCCATTTGGAGAGGCCCCAGGTAACGATGAATTATCTAGGATTTCCTGGTGCTAATTTTCGCTGGTTGTCTTAATAAAGAAACCTTTTTGCAGAGTTACAGGGGGGTGGCCGGACTCAGCCTATAGGGGGCAAGAACGCCTAAGCACAAACAAGCAAACATGTCTGCCCAAGAAGAGGTTCTAGATGGTTCTAGGTATGGGATTTAGAAGATCTATAGACTTTGAACACCAAAGAATCGTGAAACATGGTGATACTGTTGATGGACAAAATCCTGCACCACTTTGCGCACACTTTTCTTGCTGCCCTCGTTCTCCCTCGTTAACATTGTGGCCACCACAGTGAGAAAACAAAAACAAGTTGAAGGTCCAAAATCCTGCACCACCTCCTCAGAGGGGTCGCGCCAACATTGAATGAGGGGGCACGGGGGTTGCTATGCGACCCTTCCAGGGTAAAGTGGTGAGGTGGTGCAGGATTTTGTCCATCAACAGTATGACCTGTTTCTGTTACATCTTGCCAACCGCACATCACCGAACGGCACATCACCGAACAGTCACCGTGATCGCATCATTTCGCCTCCGCTCCCGCCGCGCGGGGTGAAGGCACCACAGCTGCGAGCTGTAACGCCTGACCGGAGGGACCGGGAGGCCCCGTGACCCAGTGCTTCAGCCATTCACCACAAAACCGGCATTCCTCCTGGCAGATTGGTGAAAAGCTCTTAGCTGAAGTTGTCCAACCATGTGCTCTCTCTGAAACTAACATGGAAGTGGAACACCCACTAGTTTGCAAAGGAAAAATGCTCTTCCAAGGGACCACTTTTCACTTCGAAAAGTGTGGTTCCAGGCAGAGCGTGCTTCCTTTTGAAGAACTCGTCAGCTACTTCGAGGCTTCCAAGACTGATCCTTGGAGTCTGTCCTCATCCGTTTCCCGTTTGGTGGCTGGACACTGAGCATGGTGACTCGTCAGCATCGTCTGGTGCGCGTCTCTCTTGCTCGCCGCGGCGCGTCGAGAGACGCGCGCGCGCGCGTGCGCGTCGAGATCGGCGGCCACGGGGGCGTCCGATCTGTCCTCCTCTTCGAGATCCTCCTCGCCCCAAATGAAGCGCCGGAAGGACGCATGGAGCCCGGGCTGAAACAACAAGATGAGCAGCTCCACTCCTCCGCGCCCACGGACGGGCAGGACACAAACATGGCCGGACGATGGCCGAAACGGGGTATCTCCAAATAGCGCCGGGGGTTGGTGCGGTGTTCTCCAAGGGGGCAGAAATAGGAGAGGGTTTTTGGTCCAGCAAATCTCTCAATAGCCTGTCTATACCAAAAGCCTCCCCCCCAAAAAGGGGCGAACCAAGGGGTGTCCATCCACCCACAACTGTACCAAAAGGGACCCAAGTTATGGTTTTCCATATGGTACATATATATATAGGATAGGCCAAAAAGGGGACTGTTGTCCCAGGTATCTCCTGACGACCCCTCCTGACGATCCGGGTCTCCACGACCAGGGAAATCCCTGGGCCCCTAGTCGGGACCTGGGATTCCATGCCAGCTGCAGTTTCCAAGGTCTTCGGGTCCTTTCATGGAAAATTTAAAAATAGTTATATAACAGGTTTGGAACATGTAACTTACATTTTTGCACATCCCGCCCACAGTGGGAAAATACAGCTGACATTATCCAAGGTCCCCCTTGATTTTTCTGGAGATAGGGGGTGGTAGTGGTGATCCAGGGGCTAGCGGCTACATAGGACTACCAGGCCATGGTCAACTCGAGTCCTCACTGGACTCGATTTGGGTGGCCAAAGAAAAAGAAAGGTCAGCTCCTTGGGGACTGGCGATCCGGCATGCTTTTGGTCACCGGAGTCTTCCATCCATCCATCTTCCAGCCATCCATGCAAAGCTGCTCGTCCAGGCCCCCCACCCTTCGCCAACGGACGAAAAAAGCAACCGGACGAAGCCATCGATGCTGCGCTGGTTGTTGGGTCAGTCCTACGCAGCTCACGTGGTAGGCGGCCATTCCCCTCCAGCTGAAGAAGTCGTAGAGGATCCCTCCACAGGTCACGCCCACGGCCTCGGTCCATCGCAGTGACGCGACGCGGACCCGGACCCGCGCGGCTGACCTCAGCGGCCAACATCGGAAGCCTGAAGAACCGGTTTCAAGAAGGGGTGTGCGCTACACCAGGTCGACCATGCAGTTTCTTTCTGGCCTTGGAAGGCTGGGGGAAGGTGATGGATCAATAATTATAACAAGTAACAAGCATGGCATACCAGCACCACCCATTTCGGGTGGTGATCGGATGCGTTCAGTCCACCGCCACTGGGCCACACTGTGCGTCGCAAACGAGTGGTTCGGAGTTCATTCGAGTGGTTTCAGCGGTCAACCTAGTAATCCTGTCCACCTATTAAACACGCCCCCCGCCCTAAGAAGGAAACCTCTTTTTTCGCATGTTTTTTAAATAGGGGGTCCCTGAAATGGGGGGGTCCAAAATAGGGTCACCTGGGAAGCACTTCAAAACAAAAAAGTAACCCAGGAAAACTTTATGTAAAATCCTTTAGTAATTAAACTTCTCAAAAAATCAAAAAAACTCCAGATCGAAGGGCCTTCCTTTTCCCCTACAAAAACCTTTATCATAGTGATTCTTCATTAGACTAACAACTTTGAAAGTAACTGAAGCTTTCGAAAGGTGATGTGCCTGTGCCATGCGGATTTAAAAGTAAAAAAACATCCAAAATCGGCAATGTTGGTAGTTTAGTAGCGGCTTGAAAGGGCGGTAATTTAAAAACACGTATTTAGGGGGATCCGACATGACTTTTTTAATAGGGGTCCGTTTTTTAATCGGTACTCGGGAATACGGTACCCTTCGATTCCGGACCCGAACCGGAGGGTCCGAACCCGGGACCTGGAGGGCTGGAGGGACAGGGCTGATGAGCTCCAAAGCTCGAGCGCGATATGTCACTGATGCACATGATTGATCAAACTCTTCCCACCCCAATCCCCCAATCCTCAAGACCATGTGCCCAACAGCCTGTCATTTCGAAATACATCCGACAGCCCTCGGAAACACTCTCTCTCTCTCTCTCCAGTTCTGTCTGATTCGACCCCAACTCTTTTGGATCATTCCTTTCAAAGTCAAGGGAGTACCCTTATTTCTGAAACTACTCAAATATCATTTATCAAAAGAACGGTTCCTGCGGTCACTGATCTCCTTTTCTTTCGGCGGTCGTCGTGCCGGGGTCTCAGGTGCGTGTTTGCAGGGAGGTGCAGAGGGGCACCCCAAATACACATATCAACTCACATATCACCCAACAGAGGTTCTTCTTCAACCCTGTAGACTATCCCAGTTCGGTACCCCAACTATATATAGGTACTGAACGTTCAGGTCACTTAATTAACCTCTCTTGGATCTATTCCTTGGAAGAGGAGCGGATCCCAGTTCAGGGAACATCAACACACTACAAGCAAAACCAGGTCAGAATTGGGCGGTGGAAATTCCGCCCTGAAAGCCCCCGCAGCCTCTGAAAGAAGGCCCATCAAAATACGAATGCCAAACAAATGGCGGCTTTCCACTTCCAGGATGTGCTCAGGGAGTGCAAGAACTGGAACACAACCAATGGCCAGTAGCCGCGAAAATGGTTCTACCCACCCAAGATCCATGGTCGAGTGGGAAGAAGATTCTCGACCGGAGAGCACTGGGACACCAAGGCGCATAGGACAAAGTGAAGACCGACAACACCGTGCTCTGAGCATCCTTCACCTCGTACGCTCCGTCGTCGCCGGCGGGACGACGAGCGCCGCCGCCGTCGTTTGAAGCGCGGAAAACGACACGGCGATGGAAGACGAGACCCTCCGGGATGTTCCCTTCCACCGGGAGCTGGCGTCCGTTCGACGTGCGATGGAATCCTCGGTGCCTAGACGAAGCAGCCCAACAACTGAAACCCCAAAGACTCGGGCGCTGCCGTCTCCCGAAACGAACCATCAGAGGGCTCGGCGGCTCGGTGCCTTTCCTCGGTCGCCGAAGGCGACGGATGTGACCTCCTGTAGTCCTCCTCCACGTCGACCGATCCGACGGGCACCGACCCTCCTCGACCGGACTGAGCGGCCATGACTTCGGAATCGGACCAAACGTCAAAGGTTAAGCCCTCGATGGCGATGGCGATGTCGAAGCCCACCTGACCAGTTGAGGAAAATCCGAAGTGTCGACCCCTACACCCTAGACGGAACCGTCTGACCGAAAAAATGACAATTTTTGGTAGCATAAAATACTGAAGCCTATTAATTAATGATAATGAATGCTTGCTGGATCTCTAGGGTATAGATACCCCATACCAGCACCCGAAACCTGCCAGGTCTCCACCCGCCACTTAACCTCCAAAAGCCACGTATAAACTTATGGAAGAGACCTTTTTTGAGTCACTCGTGCTGGTGTAGGTACCTCAGGTGATGGGTCCCTTTCCAGGTCACTCCCCATGGATCCACTGCCACCTTCTCAGAAGGTATGTGGACCTTATGTGGGTCCATAGGGACATATAGGGACTGAATTCACCTCGATCTCTTGGATTCGTCCTCTCTTGGTCGGGCCTGCGGCCAGGCATGGCCAGGCTCCGATTGACGACGCGTGGGACCCGCAGCCGGTGGCGGCTGGACGTGCAACACGTGGGCGTGTTATAACGTGGTGTGGAGTGTCGTTCTACGCCCACGGCACGGGACAAGACCCGAGCCTGTTCGAACATCGTCCATCCCAAACCCCTGCCAAATCGGAGGTCGAGTCAAGACCCGAGCTGGTGGCAGTGGACACCAAAGCATGCACTGACCGTGAGTGACTTGTTGCCGCCGACCTGTGCAGGGTTGCCCCCTCCGACCTGCGGGGGAGTAAATGCTCCAGGATGGGTTCCACTGCTTTGTCATGCTTTGCCTCCTACCTGGTCTTGCTGAGAATTTGGGTGATCAATGTGCCATGTCAGATGCTTAGGGCCATGGGCCATGGGTCAAATGATTGGTGAATCTTCCAGTCCCATTGGAGGTACAAGTATGGACCTGCCAGGTCACCACCAAGAAGTCCTTCTGAGTCTGCATTTCAGCCACCATGTCCGAGAATTGTGACTATAATTCCCATACACTCCATGTATTGTATGGAATATATGCCTACACTGACCCCCCCAAAACCACCCCAATGTAGGCATATATATGGCATACACGGAGTGTATGGGATTAGTCAGGTGCTGGTCTTTCTTTCGTGCCTCCCTCAGTTTCCCTGGAAAGGTGGTCAGATGTTAAGTCATGTTAAGTCCACCCTGTGTCGTCCACCGCCTTAAACACCCCCCGTCTTCCGAGCCGAACCACCGGACCCCGCACGGGACACCGGACTCGTCCCGACCCGCCGACCCCCCCGTTCCGCGCCATGCCGACGATCTCCAAGTACACCGCCCACCTCGGACCGGTGGCCGGGCGAGCGACCATCAAGGGGTGGGAAGGTGCCGGCAGCCAGGTACTGAAGGTACTGAGCCCAGTGGGTGGCAAGGTGCATGATACAATAAGAGAATCAGGAAAGAGAGTGTCTTGGCGAAGACTTGCGATATAATCCGATCATACCCAAATGATCGAAGGCACAGGCACCAGGCACAGGCACCATCTTCACGAGCAACTGTTTTTGTTCAATCAGATCTCTCTCTTTCTCTTTCTCTTTCTCTTTCTCTTTCTCTCTCTCTCTCTCTCTCTCTCGTGCCATGTTCAATCGGTGGTTTATCGCCAGAATTCAGCACCAACCGCTCGACTGTTCCAGTGTGGTTTTGCCTCTTCCTTTTCCGCTTCCCGTGTTCCGTGAACACGTGGACCCGTTCCGAAGACGTCTTCGCTCGCTCCAATTCTGCTCCAGGTGACTCTTGGTCCACGTACAGGAGCGCCAAAAGGGCCATGATGAAGTGAAGTAAGGTGAAGGGGATGGCTGCCCAAATGCCCAGCCGGAACATCCCCCTGGGCAGACCAGCCGCGCGTCCGCGCCGCGCGTGTTTCCACGCGGGTGTGTGTACGGCGTCACGTAAACCGAAGTGGACCCGTTCCAAAAGGTTCTGGCAACGATGAACCCTTCTTTTTGGGGGAGAGCGGGCCTTCAAAAGCACTGTAAATGCCATGCAAATGTTCAAGAACTCCTCAGAAAACCAATTCTTTTGGGGTGGTGATCTGTTCTTCGAATGTTTTATAAAGGGGTGTTGGGACTGTTGACTTGCTGCAACCTGTGGCCAATCCATACCAGCACCCTCCAACAGGCTGCATTGGAACCCTAACAGGTGGTTTCTGGGCATCTGTTGCCAGCTGCAAACAACTGTTGGAGGGTCCAGGTAAGCAATGAATTAAGGTGATCTTCGGCGAAGTCTAGATTGGAACTTGGGAATTTTGGAACACTTGGCTAGTGTTGGACTATGTTGGACTGTTCCATTTTCAATTCGGTCCTCTGAAGTATGCGGTAATATTATATATATATATGCCACCCAGATGTGAAACCTGCCACCCCAATACTCCCAAGCAATGAATGAGTCACCTCATCTGGCTATCTACCAAAGCCCCACCCCAAAAGGGCCCGCAACTTCTGATCGCCTTAGATGGCCTTAGCCTGTGAGGTTTTTGACTCAAACGAGCACAACACGTATCTACGACTCCAACCACCACCCCCCAGCACTCCCCCGAAACCACCCTCACCCTTTCCACGTCGCAGAGACGACGTGCCGCTAACAAAGCCACACACCTGGACTCCTGACCGAACCTGGACGTGATCCACCACGTCCCAGGGCGGAATCACAGGAGCTCTGGGGTTGGAACTGAAACCCGTCAACGTTAACCGCCCTAATAGTCCTCATACACTCCATGGGACTGCCATAGGACTGCCGCCCCAAACAGACCCCCCCTTTTCCACCACCCCCCCTTTTCCACCACCCCTGGCCATTTCTCGGCAGTCCGTCCTGGCAGTCCCAGACGGGTCGTGTATGGGGTCTGTTCGCAGGTCATGTCTGGAGACCCGGTGCCATGAACCGGACCTGCCCAGCACGAGGTATGCGAGTTCACGGGGCCTACCATGAAGTAAAGACGCTAGTCACAAGGGCATCGAAACCGAGCTCCCGGCCTTACTAGGAGCAAGGACGCTACTTGCGAAGAGATCGGACAAGTAGTAGTTTCTTGCTCCGTTCATAGCAAGAACGCTCCTAGTAGTAATACCCTTGTTCCGTTCATAGCGATGCCCTTTGTTCCCTTCGCAGCTCCGGGTTTTTGGTGCAACTCAAGCCCCTCAAGAGCGTTCACACGTGATTCTACCGACCTCCCGACCTCCCCGTTGGTTGGTCAAGGTGCCGAAGTCTCACAAGTAATGGGGCACACCATTGGTTAAGCGAACTTGAAAAACCTGTTGGTGTGTAGTGGGGGTGAAGCCCTAATCACCAGGTTTGCAGGTTATCCACTATGATTGGGCAGGAGGGAGGACATGAGAGTTGCACTATTCCATCGATGTCGTGCCACCTCTCATGGGATGCAAGATGATGCAAGAAACATAAATATCCCATACACTCCATGTATGGAATATATGCCTACATTGATGTAGGCATATATGGCATACATGGAGTGTATGGGTATACCCTCCCCTGAACTAACATGGAAGTGGAAAACCCCCTGAGAGGAAGCATGTCATTTGAGGGGCCATTTTCCACTTCCATACTTTAGTTCCAGGAGTGCCAGACTAAAGGCCAGACTTGAGGGACCTCCAATCACCAACCCAAGCAATTCCAAGCAACTCCAAATCCCAAAAAACCACCCCCAAAACTCTCTCCCTTCCCCCTATATCCACTCCCACGAATCTCATTCGGTCAAAAACCCACGTCTGGTTCGGCCGAACAAGGCGCTGCTGTACGAAGAGCCGTCCAAAGGAACCAATGGAGATGCTGGCACCTGCCAGGCAGAGGGATCTGCTTGGACCCTGGAAGAAGGTCCACATGGACCCTGCAAACCACGTGGAGGGTGGGTAGAGGAAAACCATCTGGAAGAGGAGGCCACAAGCTCAGGTCCATGTTCGTTTTCAGGAGTGTAGGGGAAACGAGGAACCACTGAACGAGCAATCTGAACATTTCTGACCTGAACACGACGGATGGGACTGGCGTATTGGCCCACATTGACCCAGGGTGAGCCACCCCTTCATGCATCTAAATAGGAGTGTCAGGCAATGATATCCATTTGGGAAAATAACAAGGTCGATTTGGTGCCATATACTCGGTTGTACACTTGGGGGCCTCTATTCATCAACCAACCATCTACAAAACACCACGCAGTATTTGCTGCGCGGAGCCGCCTTCCAGCATACCGAGCCATCACTCAACCAGCCCTCACTCAATGCATGTCTCACATCAGGGCATCAACTAACAACATCAGGATCTTGGGCCTATTACTAGCAAGAATGGATGACGATGGTTCAGTTGCAGGCCTTGATCAAGAATATATATATATATATGTATACTTTGAGTGTTCACTGACTGTTACAGGTCATGTCTTATCCAGACCCCAAGTTTCATGTCGGATATCAATATCCACAAGTATCCACACAGAGATTTCAAGAATCAAGTGAAATATCACTTCCTGAAGACACAAGCATCACTGGAGAGACCCAAGTGAAACATCCTTCAGTGAAACATCCTTCAGGATCCTTCCATGGGAGAACGATGTACACCTCCACCGGCGGGAACTCTTCCTTACGATCTGCACCGGTCATGAAAGGGTTCGACTCTTCAGCCTCCCACGAGGCACAATAAGACCTGGCAGTGAGGGTCCTGTGTTTCACTATATGATTGAATATGATTGAGCCATTTTGGAACCCTTACAGGTGCCAAGTTGCGGTTCTGTATACCAGGACCTTCCAACAGGTTACCACCTGCGACTTAAGTCTACAAAAGCCCTGAAAGGAGATCTATTGGAAGGTGCTGGTATACATATATGCTAATACTCCCCACAACTCAGCATCGCCTGGTTTTCGGATGGTACCAGTCACTGGGGGCCGCTTGGAATGTCCAGCCGTCCAGCCTTGCTGGGACGGGGGTCGTGGTGGCTGGCCTCGCCAGCCTCCTACTCCCAGCGTGCCTGCCAGGGCAAAGTTCCATCCCATGGAGCTGACGTACCTCGCCGCCCATCCCAGGGCCAGCTCAACGGGGGGGAAGGTCTGAACATGAGCCACCGGCCGGCGTCTAACATAGGGTGCCTGTTTCTGTCAGCTTGGTATTCCAATGCTTGGTGGAAAATGAACTGGGTGCAAGTGCACTTGAAGTTACAGTAGGTCCTAGCTGGGAAAAATAGAAGCACTAAACAAGTACTAGGACCTTCCAACAGGTCACCACCTGCCACTTTAAGTCTACAAAAGCCTCCAGGTCGGAGACCTGTTGGAAGGTGCTGGTAGATGCCCCAGAACCACACCTCACCAGATAGACCAGTGGATCCCAATCCTTCATTAATTATCTTGGTTTTTGCAATGTCTTGATTCATCACGCCGATATGGCTTGTAATACCGAGATGTTCCTTCATTCTTTATCCCCAAACGCATCCAAATTCCATGTACTGAACCGGCGACACGCCTCAAGGCGAGACCCGTCGGTCCCGTCAGTGCAGTCGACGCCAGATGTGATGGTCAATCCCAGTTCGGGCCCACCGGCACGGGCGAAGCCGTGGCTCGGTCTGAAAAAAGGTCGACCGAAGATGATGCCCAGTTCGGGCTGAAACCAAAGAACACGCACACCCATCATATACCCTCTGACTCACTAACATGGAAGTGGAAAACCCGCTGTTGGTAGAGGAAAGTAGTCTTCCAAGTGACCATTGTCCACTTCCATGTTAGTGCGCCAGAGGGTAATCATTGATATCTGTGCAACATGCGCAGTCAAGTATACCGTCCAACACCGGCTCTGGCCAAGTATACCGTCCAAGCCCGGGAAACGACTTGCCTTCTGGTCCTGGGAAGTCCGGGGGGATCGCAAAATCGAATCTTGATGAATCTTGAACGCTTAACCTCGACCATCACCACCCATGTCGGGTGCTTAGATGGAAAGCATATCTTGCAGAGGTGGGGTCTAGAAAAACCTTCTAAAGCACCTGAAGAAAAAGCGGTGCTGGTCACAGATCCTTTGGTTTTTGCTTCCTTCCTCCCGATCAGACCAGATATCTGGACCCCATGATGTCAAGGGCAGAATGGATGATTTTTTTTTCAGGTAGATCAGCTTCATGGATGCCGCTTCAGAACGGTCATAACACCTTTGTTTCAGAACGTCACCGGCGTCTCACGGCATCACGGCGGAGCGCCCTGTGCCGTGCGCGTCACTTCGTGATTGCTCGGTGGCGCGCCGTAACGCCAACCACGGTCGACGTCGAGTACTGGAACATGCGGGCCCGGTTGCAAGCTTAAGGCCGCATGCGCAAAGGTGTTGACAAAGCCATTCAGCATGGGCAAGAGGAGGCACACAAAGACCTGTTATTTGGGGGCATCATTGGTTTAAGAGATGCGAAGGCATACTAAATTTCTTAGTTTTTTGTGGTATAAGTCCTTGAAACAGCCGCCTAAACCTGTTGTGGCTTGACCTTTAGTGGTGTATATAGTGGTTGTAGTTGTTTAGCAAGAAATACCTTCAAAACCGCAATGACTAAGGGGATACTATGTTAAGATATTATGTTAATTAAGGGTCTCATTAAAACCACGCCACTACCACGCCAGTGCGGACACGCATCGTCGAAGTCCAAGATCCATTTCCCGAATCCAAGACCCTCCGTGTCATTGATCCCTAGGCTTCCAACCACTCCCCAAGCACCATTAATACTTCAAAAAAGCCTGGCCTGTATGGAACAAACCGATGGAAAACACTACCAAAACCGGTCAATTATCCTGTAAATGGCCTGGCTAATAGGCTAAGGTCTATGGCATTCGTTGGCCACACGGAACCTTGGAGGACGCGTGAACACTTCACGCGTCCAAACGGGACGAATCCCATGAAGGTGACCACATACCTGGTCAAAACCTGGAACTCCACTTCCAGTGGTTTCAGAGGTTCGATAGCACAATCCCTTAAAAGGAGGTTTGGATGGGCCCCCATCTAAGGGACATCATGGGGTCTATGCCATCGAACCTCTGAAACCACTGTACCCATCCTGAGGTCAAGCGGTCCAAACTCCAAAACCTGGTCGACGTGGTGCAGGTTGCGCGAGGTGCTGCCCCTGGGAGCCCATTCTCAGCATCCCAAAGCCATGTCTCATCTATGTATGTCGGACCTCGTGTTTTATTCGCGAGCAGTTCCTCCTCCTCCACCGACCGCGGAAATTCCGGGTATCATGACCTGAATGATTTGCAAGTTGGACATGGAAAGCCGTTTCTTTCGCCCGGAAAGTGTCCCCTCCATCCCTGCACCGAAAAATGCCGGTGCCGTCACCATGGTCACCTGCACACGGTCCGCGGTACGTCATACCGTCCGCGGCACATACTGGAAGGACCAAGGGATGGTTTCGAAGTCCTCGTCATCCTCGCGTTTCCGTGGTGAAGGGCCAACGACTGTTGAGCCATGAAGGGCCGTCAGGGACGCGAAGCAAAAAAAACAGGGAAGGAAGAAAAACAGTCCCCGAAATCAGCACGGTTACGTGGATGGCATAGGCCCTTAGATGCCTAGGGCCTTGGATGGCGTAGCCCTTTTCCTATGGGTCCGCATACCTTCTGAGAAGGTGATTGGAGACTATGTCACTATGTAGGCTTGGAAGGTCGGTATGTGGATCTATAGGGTTTAGGAGCAAGATGTGTGTTCCCTTCTTTCTGGGAGAAACGGGTTTCATGTACGTGCGGGACGCACCTCCGAAAGAGCTGCCGCAGATCAATCAAGGAGCAACGAGGGATAGAACAAACCCTTCTCCTTGTGCTTAGGAAAGTCCAAGAACACCACCTGGTGGGTGGGTGGGCGGCGTGGGCGGTGATGGTGCTTTAGGAAGGCCCTGACCAAACCGACAATAGCACGAAACAAACTACAGTAATAACTAATACCCGGACCATCCAAGGGGTGCCCTGTCTGGAAGCCTAGGCCGGTAGTGTGGGGTAGTCCAGCCAGGACAACCCTTGGATGGTCCTGGTATATTATTCTGCCCTTCTTTAGGGGGGGGGGGCCACGGCCAACAGCGCCCCTGCTTGAAGGTTGTTGGAGGAAAAATGGCTTCTTGAACCCTGAATCCTATTTCGATATGCCGGATTAACCAAACTTTCCACCTGTATGAGTATAGTGGAAAAATGAATCCCCAACAGAAAGGGCTTTGCAGCTTATCGCACGAACCAGGCAGTGCAGCACAGGGCGACGACTCCCAGCGAGAAGACGGACGTCGGATCCACATACCTTCTCAGGTACGGTGATTGGAGACGATTGATGTAGGCTTGGGGGGGCCAATTATATACCTTCTGAGGTACGGTGGATCCGTGGATCCATAGGGAGAGAGGCTCTCACTCTTCAGCTCGCCTCCCTTGCATCGCGACCTTCCACGACCAGCCAAGCATCATCAAAGTCTTCGACATCCATGCTGCGTTCGCAGTGGAGGGCGACCCGTTCAACGAAGCGCTGAGACGAGGCGACCCGTTTGAGCCCGGCGGCGGGGACAGTTTTTCGCCCCGACATGGTCACCCGCAGCCGCTTTAGGGATGGATAGTCCAGCGTCAAGATCCCAGCTCAGCGGTGGTTTAAGGTGCTTGGAGCTGGCATGTTGCTTTTCATGCTTTTTCAGGATGTGGGCCCATTCCGGGCCCCTGGTTGTAACATGTTGTAACAAAAGTCGATTGGACTGAGATAGCTGCTCCAGAGGGATCTGGAATCTAAGGCATCCAAGAACCATTTATAGCGGTTCTTTGGCGTCTGGACCAGTCCCAACACGAGTCCAGTTGGTCACCAAACACCCAAGATCCCCAACTACCAACTGAACCTGCATGTCGATATGGCTTCTATCCGAGACTGGAAAAGTCGGAAGCTTAGAAAATACCAACCCCATTGCGGGGCTATTACATGCTATTGGCCCCCAACTGAATCTTGTGAACATCTTTTCATGAAGTTCCCCACCCTCTAGAATGTTGACCATGAGCCGCATGGTCCATACAGTGAATCTTAGCACTGACACACGTCTGCTTTGCTGCCACTCCATGACATGTGCGGAGTTTGTGAATGATGCATGTTCATCCCGGCTTGATGTAGATTCTTGATTAATAATCCTCCTATTTGGATTGAACCGGCTCTTCATATGGGGGGCTTCGTTTAATGTCAAGAGTCTACATTAGTCAACCAAAAGCAGCCCCAAGGGAGTTCTGCAAGACCGGCACCAGCTTTCCGGCCCCAGCTGGAGATGGTTGGACATCCCGCAAGGAGAGATACACTCGCTGAAATACATATGGAAGTGGATGGCAGGGCTCTGTCTTCCTCGTCTTCGAAAAGGTGATTTCCAGTGGTGTTCCACTTCTATCCCAAACACGACCCATGGGACTGCCATAGGACTGCCGCCCCATTGACCCCCCTGGCACCACCCCTGGCCGTTTCTCGGCAGTCCTATGCCAGTCCCATGGGTTGTATCTAGGTATGATTGTTTCCAGTGCTGAACCACTTACTTGCTGGGGGTCTTCCGGTGCCTAACACCGGCGTCCAGGCGTCCGGATGCTCATCGTACACTCGGTGCGCCTTGCAACGAACGCACAGAGCCCGTTGAGCTGGTTCTGTTCTCAGTCCCAGCCATGGCTAGCTTTGTTATTTTCATTCCGTTGAGTTCGTGGCGAGGGACGTGGCACCGTTGAATTGGCAACACGTGGAACACGTTTGATGCAACGTCAGGTCCAAAACAAAAGACACCCCCCAAAACACACACAAACACGCTTACGTCATCTTACGTCATGGTCTTGCTTCTCACTCCTCCAAGATTCGCTACCTCCCTCCCACACCCGCGTGAACCGTGTCAGGACCCCTGTGGACTGGTTTTTCCCCACCGGTGGGCTTGGGGGAAACGCTTCAGCCCCCCCGAACGGCCGAAGGCCTTTCAAGGCCGCCAGGAAGGGATCGTTGGACGAACTGGCGCTGATGCCTTGGCCGAGACGAACGGACGAGACCTCGGTGCCACCGACCTGTCATGTCCTGTCTGGAGATCCCGAATGGTAGTGTAGGGCCGGGGCCGAAACCAGCTAGGTGACCCCCGACCTGGTTCGGTGCATACCGTACGTGTTTGGCCAACAGTGTCCCAAGCTCGCATCTGGCTTTGGGCTCTTCGCCCCGCTGCTGTCGCTCGCTGTTGGGCTTTGAAGTCTGCCGTGGACCGAAGCGACATGCGCAGCACCGGCGGCGTCAACGACTTGTTCCAGCGCCAGCCAATTGCCCCAACGGGTTTCGTGTTTGGGAAGATGGACATGCGGCATGAGCCAGCCATGAGCTCCGCCTTCGGTCCAACAACGCCAAATGGCTTTCCAATGAACCTTGAAAGCCATTCCAAGGACTATTCCAAGGTTATCCTTATTTTGCAAGTTCATAGACCGTTTGTCCGATTCAAATTCACGACACGTGGACTTCTTGATTGCTGTGCTGCTGCTGTGCTGCTGGCCGAGTGCCTGTAAAAGCAGCAGCACAAACTAAATGTCCCCACTTCAGCAACGGGACACCACTTGAGCGCCAAATCCCTTGGCGACACCTGTCGCTTCACCGCGCTGCCCGGCTCGGAGATTCACATCTGTTGGATTTTGTCCCCATGATTGGCTTCCTCGACCTTCTGCAGAGGGGTCCTTCCATCGCCGCGCTCTGCTGGGAAGGCGACGTCCCCTTTTATTGGGCGATAAAGCATCGTCTGGGAACCCTCCTCAGCGTGCTTCCCCTATGGATCCACATACCTTCTCAGAAGGTAGTTGGGCCTCCCAAGCCTACATCAATCGTCTCCAATCACCTTCTGAGAAGGTATGTGGATCCATAGGGTTCAATGGCATGAGTCGTCGCAATCGCCTGGGCCTTCCAAGTGCGACGGACGGCTCTGACTTGGGTGAGTGGCGTCAGTCAAAGGCCGGCGTCCACCCCTGTTGTATCGACAGCATGGTCCAATTGCTGTCTGTCCTATCGCCCATGATGGTCCACTCATCCTTCGGCGCCACTGTAGTTTTGCCATTGAGGAGGTCTTGTGTGAAGAGGCATGCTTTGAGAGATTTGTTGGCAAGGATTGGCAAGGTCATTTTTCATGGCATGCACTTGGTGGTCCAGTGCCAACTTTTCGTGGCAGGTGCAGGGGGTCGGAGCGGTTTAATGAAGCGAATCGTGACCTTTGGACATTTCAGAAAACGGGAGACTCAAGCCAAAACTGCATAACTTGGCATCTTGATGTTGTCTTTGGAAGCGCTCAGAAAAAAAGAAACGCCTTGGCAGGGCGTAGCGCGGTGCGAACCTTGAGGTGACTTTGTGGATCGACCGAGCAGTTTGTTCTTTGGGACCTTGACGAATATACCTTGTGAACCGTGAAGTGCAGATTTCATGGCATGCTCAGCAGCGCTTTGTGAACCTCGAAGTGCAGATTGCGTGGCAGGTGCGGCTTTGTGAACTGGAACTGCAGACTTCGTGCAGCGCTTTGTGTAATTTTGGAAGTTGCATATCTTTACAACTCTATAGACCTCCAGGCATGCAAACCTCTCTGGATCTCAAGATGTCAAGACCGCTACACCTATAAGGACTCTAGATCTGTCTGGATCTCAAAACCTCTAGACCTCCTACTTCGAGGCTTCATATCTCTGGATCGCAAGATGTTAAGAGGCCTAGACCTCTAGGTCTCCAGATCTCTAATCTCTCTGGATGTCTAGGCGTTGAGACATTCTATGCAACTCTATCCCAAGGCCTCCCCGGATCTAAAGACCTCTACAGCTCTGGAGCCCTATGCTTCTAGACCTTCAGGTGTCAGGCAGGCATACAGTCAGAACACTATGAGGCTTAGGTAGACATCAAACGTCCAGATCTATAACTCTAGATGTGTGACCAACTCTCTGGATGTCCAGATCTTCACTCCGCTGGACACTCAAGACCAGACCTTCGTCGATCCCTGTAGATGTCGACAGGCGTCGACATACGTCTAGACCTCAAAAGTACTGTTTGGGGTCTCTGACGCTGGGATCATGTTTTTGTTTGCCGGGATAGCCAAGAACCAATTATAGGCTAGTTGGCTATGTTGGCTTGGCTCAACTTTGATATGTTGGGCTTCTCATGAACCTGTCAAACGGATTTTGCGCGCTCCCGTTGTGAACTGATCCGATACGAAGCGGGCGACCTCGTCAACCTGGAGAACGGTTTGGAGTGCCTGTTGCGATCTCGAAACCATGTGGATGGTATACCGTTTCTTTTTCCCACAGGGCTTGGGCAAAACATTGCAAAACACTCACTAAGCTCAAAACCAAGCTGGTGCACGCCAAAGGAGAATCAAGCATGTGATGCACAAAGAGGGTGAAAGCTGACGTGTGAACCTTGACCTGACCAAAAAGTCCCGGAGGGGTGCCCCACTGGAAACGATGATCCAACTTGAATGGCACATCCAAACCCAATCCCTATGGATCCACATACCTTCTCAGAAGGTAATTGGGCCCCTCTGGCGCCTACATCAATCGTCTCCAATCACCTTCTGAGAAGGTATGTGGATCCATAGGGAATTATGGACTACAGTATATAAATTTAGATAAATTTAGGCTCTTCAAAGTGACCCAGCCTGAGACCCTAAATGGTTCGGTCATGTTCGGCCTCTTTTCCAGGGTCACAGCGGCTAGAGCCATCAAAAGGTCATGTCAGACTTGCCATCTACACGTCGCCTCGATGTATGGGTTCATGTTTGAGGCCTTTGCAGGGCCGGTGCATGTAATTAGCAGTGTGTAATGAGCACCAAACATCACAAGAGGCGCTTCACAGATCTTCACAGCATCGTTGACTCAAATGAACACGCATCACATACTGTAAATAGATGTCCGTGCAATGTGTTTTGGGAAAAAAAAAAGATTTACCCTACCCAACCGACACTTCTGCACATTCCGAGTCTGATCTTCTCTTATTTCACTGCTCCCAAAAGCAGAACAAACATGGATCCGGTCCCGTGACCAGTCACCAGTCACCCCAATTCGGCAGGATCACGGGGGGGGTTCGTCCCACCTCCAAGGCTGCTGAAAAGGCTGGCGTTGGAGCGGAAGCTCTCTTGCGACAAGGTGGTCATCTGACCGCGATGGGCGCCGAAGCCGCCGATGGTGACCGGAGCCCGAGCGGATCGAGGACGACCGTGCAACTGCCGTACGCTGCCGAGCGGATCGAGGACGCTGACCGAGAGTGGAAACATGTGATGCCAAGAGGGGTCAAGTGACCGTAAATAGGACCCGTAGCCTGGGGTACCGAACTGCTGGGGTACCGAACTGCTGGGGTACCGAACTGGGATAGTCGAACGTTCGGGTCCTTCAACCTCTGTTGGTGACCGTGAACCCGAGATCGAGGGGAGAAAGAACACGACAGGCAGTTTCATTTGGTGACCCATGGTGACCCCGACGGGTCAAAGGCTGGTTCCAGGTGCTGTCTCCAAAATGGACCCTGGTCA